ACGGCCCTCCCATATGCTGATAGATTCCCCAGGAAATCTTCTCCGTCATTATCCACAAGCTTCTTCCCCTCCTCGCCGACCCCTCGCACCCATACAACAGCCAACACATGTACATTCTGCGCTCGCTCGCCGAATGGAAGAGCATTCTGCTTATCAACGAGATCCCGGGCTCTGACCAGCTCATCTCGGCCCTTTTCACCGCCTGCTTCGACGTTCTGTCTGGCCCCTCCAAGGCCGAGGACCTGAGCAAGAGCATCGAGCACAACATGACCGAGGTCCTCTCCACCATCATAGACGAGGCCCCATCAGTAACCCACGATGTTGTCGATGTCATAGTCGCACAGTTTCTCTGGGCAGACCCCATCACCCTCGGCGCTTCAAAGGGCAAGAAGAGCATCCAAGTGGATGCTAAGCAGTCGACACTGCGTCGCAAAGAGGCTCCACCCGCATACAACATGGCCAAGAACGTCTGCAACTCGTTCCCCGACAAGATGGCACGCCTAATTGGCAACTACTTTAGTTCCGTCATAGTCGACTTCACAAACTCTGGCACAACATACAAAGCTCATGACGCCGATGACGACCTACCAAAGGGCCCTTCCGAGGAAGACTTGAATGAGGCGCACAAAGCGCATCGCTTACTGCGTGAGCTGTGGAAATGTTGCCCGGGTGTCCTCCAGGACATCATCCCGCACTTACAGGACGAGCTCGCCACAGAGAACGTGCAGCTTCGTCAGCTTGCGACTGAGACCTTCGGTGATATGATTTCGGGGATTGGCGCGGCAGGCCCTCCTCCTCTACCCGACCTCGATCCGGTCGCATACCCCTCGCAAAGTCTGTCGCGAACCGAGTCTGCGCGGCCTTTTGATTATCTCACTACTCCTGTTTCCATCAACTCGTTTCCTACCCAATACCCTGTTGCATATCATTCATTCCTTCAGCGCAAAAACGACAAATCGGCCGTTATACGCGCCTCATGGACTACCGGCATTGGCCGCGTTTTAATGACGTCAGCTGGAGGCATTGGTCTTGATCTCGAAGAAGAGCAAAAACTGCTCAAACATTTTGCTGAATGTTTGATTGACAGTGATGAAAAGGTGCGATTAGCAGCCGTCAAGGCAGTTGCACACTTTGAGTTCAATGACATCGTTCGCAAACTAGGTAGCAACGGCGGCATGGCCGAAACTGGCTCTATCCTTTCCAATCTCGCAGATCGTGTCAAGGACAAAAAGAGCGTGATTCACTCTGAGTCCATGAAGCTGCTTGGTAGGATTTGGGGTGTGGCGGTTGGTGCCATTGCCGAGGGCGACGAAATTATCAAGTCACTCTTGGGTCCGATCCCTTCACGCATTCTCGAGGCTTGCTACGTAAACGATCTTGAAATCAACGTCCAAGTCGACTTGGCGTTGTACGATTCTTTGCTCCCTCTCGGATACCCGCCTCTAAAAGCAAAGGCAGCGCCTAACTCACAGGTGGTCAAGGATAGCCAAACAGCAAACGAACAAAATTACACGGAAGCAGACTTGGACAAGATTCGGACCGAGAGGCAACTCGTCCTTGTCAATGGGCTTGAAGAAAAGGCCAAAAAGGTTTTCTTTGCCAAGCAAGGAAATCAAGGCCCAGGCGCGAAGTACATGGAACATTTCCTGAAATTGTGCGAAGAATACAATGGCGGCGTGACTGATAAGAGCGGAAAAGATGTTACAACCAACCTCGAAGGCCTTATCACCTACTACGCAAAGACACTTCCGGACTCGACTAGGGTCAGGGACGATCTTTGGAAGTTTGCCAAGACCCATGATCGCCGCGCTTATGCCCTCATACGCTTTTGCATGGATCCAGCCAGCGACTACCGCAAGGTTTACAGGTCGATCAAAGAGCTCAGGAAGAGGATCGAGGACGGACCTGGTGCATCTCTGCTTGATACCCTGACCCCACTCCTCTATCGTGTTAGCCTATTGTGTTACAACAAGAGTCATGTCCCAGCTGTTATTGAGTTCACTAGAACCGACAACAAGGGCCTCGGTGCCACTGCTCATGAACTTCTAAAGGAGATCTCTACAAAGCATCCCAAGGTGTTTTCCACCCACGTGAAAGATCTATGCAAAACACTTGAGAGCGAAGCGCCAACGGCGACCAAGCCGAATCCTCTTGGTGCTGTGGATGACCTCAAGGCTTGTGCCGCATTTGCAAGGAAATTTCCCACGGACATTCCCATGAACGGCAAGGACAGCCGAAAATTGGTACAGAGTTTCTTGAACTTTGCATTCTACGGCACACCTCCACAAGCTGCCAAGCATGCGATCACCATCATTATGAATAGCGATGATAAGAAGGAAATGCACGCAAAAGAGATTCTCACCAAGAGTGTCAAAGGCTTCGAATATGGTGGTGCGCATTGGCTTACAAAGCTGGCTGCGCTCAGCCAATTAGTCCTGCTTGCCCAGTCAGATTGTGAAGATGAGATGGATGCAGTGATTGAAGTTGCGATTCAGGAAGTCCTTCAAAAACCACACGCAACATCCGCTGAGGCTGATGCCGAATGGATGGAAACACCCGATGCCGATATTCAAGGTCGATCCTGGGCCATCAAGATTCTTGTCAACCGACTCCGCGCTTTACCTGCCGAAGCGACCTCTAAGGAGGCTGTGCAGGACACATACACGCTACTGAATCGCTTTGTGCAGAACAGTGGTGAAGGATCCACCGACGACAGCACTCCGGCTGCACACAAGTCGCGTCAGCGCCTCCTTGCAGCCAACTCCCTGCTCAAGCTTTCTTGCCATAAGCGGCTCGACCCCTTCTTAACACCTGCCAACTTTGTTCAACTGGCCCTTGTGACACACGACCCTTGTACCCAAGTACGCAAAGGCTTTGCTGATAAGCTGATGAAGTACCTTGGCCAAGGTCGTCTTCCTCCCCGCTTTTATACCGTACTCTTTTTCCTCGCGCACGATCCGGACAAGAACATCAAAAACGGCACAATGACCTGGATTCGTGCACGCCGCGCTGCCTTTGCTGCACGAAAAGAAACTGTTCTAGAGTCGGTGTTTGCGAGATTGTTGAGTTTACTCGCCCATCACCCAGATTTTGACACCGAAGATGATACGCTGAAGCTCATGTCGGAGTACATCTTATACTATCTCAAGTGCGTGGCAACCGAAGAAAATTTGCCTCTCATCTTCCACGTTGCTCAACGGGTCAAAGGCGTTGCAGACGGAATTTCACCTTCACGACAGGCTGATGAGAATCTATACATTCTGTCTGATTTGGCCCAAGCCCTGATCCGCTCATGGGAAGAGCAAAACAACTGGACCATGCAATTATACCCAGGAAAAATGAAGCTCCCGTCTGGAATCTTCCGACCTCTCGAAAGTCATGAGCGGGCACAGGAAATTGCAATGAAGACATGGATTGGAGAAGACTTGGTGGATGAGCTTGATCCCCTAGTGCGCAAATACATCCGAAATAAGAAGCGGAAAGCTTCGGAAGGTACAGAGAAGCCACGCAAGAAGGCCAAGAGTGATCGGCCTATCAAAGAGAAGAAGGCCAAGGCAGATCGACCTGTGAAGACACCCAAGAAGAAGAGGAGAAGCGGTGACGATGATGATGCAAGCGACGTCGATGGTGGTGTCGCTCCATCAAGTGGTCCCCGCAGGAAGAGCGATCGGCGGAGCACTGTGCACAAGAGCTATGTTGAGGTATCAAGTGACGATGACGGCGCCGAGGCTGGTATTGAAGAAGTCGAAGAAGAAGATGCGGATGCTTCTGAGGACGAAGAAGCCGAGGACGAGTCAAGCCCCGCACCTAAAGAAGATGTAGAGATGGCTGATACCGAGACACCGGCTGAACAGGAGGCCGAAGCCACTGTGGAGGCATCCGAGCCTTCTTCAGACGCTGAGCCTGAGCCTGAACCCGCGCCGGCCAGAAAATCAGCTAGAGGTAAAGCCGCGGACAAGACCAACGGTGTCAAGTCTTCTCCTGCTCAAAAGCGCAAAGCTGCTGAGCCGGTTAAAGAGGACACACCGCCCAAATCAGCGAAGGGCGCAACGAAAGCCAGGACAACGAGGGCTAAGGCAAATGGAACTGCAACGGCAGTTCCGTCAAGCCCAACTACCAATGGCACGCCCATTGTTCGGCGCAGCGGTCGCGCTCGTGCCTAAGATCCTGCTCCATCTATATCTTCTCTTGGCCTCAGTCATAATCAAGAGTACTCCGTGCCTGGCACAAAATGGCGTTTCGAGAGCGATGTTTGTTTCACTCTGTTGTTAGATACCATAGTCGCGTAAGCTCAGTATGTTCGTTTGCGGTACAAAAGGTAGTTTTGGATTTTTGTTTAGCTGGGCGTCCTAGGAAATAAGTGCTGCTGTTTTCCCCCGGGGCATACCATGGAAAGTGGTAGCATGGGGGAGTTTACTATCTCATGCATGTATTCAAGTCATTCTTGTACACGTGTGACTCGCCGTTTTGTGGGGATGGTAGAAGGTATGTCTTGAGATACAATGAGGAATGGATAGCCCAAAGTTTATATCATGTCTTTTGAATCTTTTATTCCATCATTGTATCGATGCAGTAAATTTCTTGTGGAAATGGAAAATCAGTATTACCGTGATTAGTGTAGATGCACTTTTACGGTACCTACATACCGACAGTCACGTGAGTTGACGCTACTATGTACGTACATAAAAGCTAGAAGCTATCCTGAAGCGATTTGACACACTTCAATACCACAGATGTCATTGAGTACTTCACACGACTTGGATGTCTCGCGTGTTTTCAATGTCTCGCCCAACTGGAGCGTACCACAGCCTTGTGTCCACATGCATTCGGCTGTGCCTAGTGCCCCCGCTTGAAGTGCAATACGATGCCCTCGCCACATTTACGTAGTAGAACACAACGGCAACACCCCACCCTAACTCAAAAACTCTGTCGCAGCTTGCGTCTTTTCATTGTGGTAATATAGTGTGGGATATATGTGTTTTATCTTTTCCTATCGACATTGCTGAGGGTGTGAAGGTATTGCCAGATAGTAGCCCTACCACCGCACGCTCTTGTTACTAGGCTGCCGCGTTGAGCCTCCTGCAACTCGTCCCTACTACATGCGCCGTCCCTGTTTTATTCATGGGCATGCGTCTTCTCAAGGTTGAAGATGATGGAGGCCTCTCTTTCGCCGAGTTCGACGAAGACACTAAGCCGCCGTATGCGATACTTTCGCACAGGTGGGGAGCGGAAGGAACCGAGATAACCTTTGAGGAGATGCAAGGGGACACGAACGAAAAAAAGTCTGGCTATAAGAAGATTCGCCTCTGCGGGAAACAAGCACAGCGAGACGGCTTGCAGTATTTCTGGGTCGATACTTGCTGCATCAATAAAGCAAACAAGGCTGAGCTATCGCTGGCTATCCAGTCCATGTTTCGCTGGTACCGGGACTCGGCTCGATGTTACGTCTATTTGTCGGATGTTTCAAGCTCACCTCTAGACACCACCCTGGTATGCGACCTGCAGGAGTCCAAGATTCTAAAAAGCGAATGGTTCACCCGAGGCTGGACACTCCAGGAGCTCCTCGCACCCAGCTCGGTTGAGTTCTTCTCACAAGAATGGGAGAAGCTTGGTGACAGGAAATCGCTAATACAACAAGTGCACGAGGCTACTGGGATCCCGCATCGAGCGTTGCAAGGAGGTGCATTGTCTCAGTTTAGTGTCAGCGATCGGCTGCGGTGGATTGAATATCGGCATACTACATGTCCAGAAGACAAAGCATACTCCATAGCGGGTGTTGTCGACATCGATTTGGCGCCATGTTATGGCGAAGGTGTCGAAGGAGCGTTTAGACGACTTCACGACGAGATTGAAAAATCAGCTCAATGTATTCAAGACCTATGTGGCACAGACTCGCGGAAAGACAAGCAGCGTATTGAGGAGATGAAAGGCGGTCTGTTAAAAGATGCATACAGTTGGGTCTTTCACAATGATAGTTACAGGCATTGGCACGCAGATCTGGAGAGCCGAGTGTTGTGGGTCAAGGGTGACCCTGGAAAAGGCAAGACGATGTTGCTCTGTGGCATCATTGACGAATTGCAGACATCTACTTCGATTAGGAATGCAACGACAGTGTCTTACTTCTTCTGCCAGGCCAACGACCCGCGGATTAATAGCGCTACGGCTATACTACGTGGATTGCTGTACTCGCTTGTGAGCCAGCAGCCATCACTCGTGTCTTCCGTGCGTAAAAAGTACGATCACATAGGCAGAAAAATGTTCGAGGACGCAAACGCATGGATTACCTTGGAAGCCATTTTTGCGGATGTGCTACAGAACCCGGGCCTTCCTCCTACTACCTACCTAATCATCGATGCGCTAGACGAGTGCGTTACTGACTTGCCAAAGTTTCTTGATTTTATTATAAGACATTCGTCTGCTTCCCGCGTCAAGTGGATTGTTTCTAGCCGCAACTGGCCAGAAATCGAGGAACGCCTAGAGAAAGCTGGCTCCAAAGTCAGGTTGAGCCTTGAGCTAAATCCGACTTCTGTTTCGAAGGCGGTCGAATTTTTCATTGAACAAAGGGTCTCTCAACTTGCGAAGCAGAACAAATACGACGAGCGGACTCAACGTGCTGTGTTAGATCATCTAGCGCTGAATGCGAACGATACATTCCTCTGGGTAGCGCTGGCGTGCCAGCATCTTGAAATGACGGCGCGGCGAAATGTCCCGAGGAAATTACAATTATTCCCACCTGGATTAGATGCTCTATACGGGCGAATGATGCAACAGCTCAGTAGGAAGGATGATGCTGAGCTTTGCAAACAGGTGTTGGCTACGGTCACGCTCGTGTACCGGCCTATCACGCTCAAGGAGCTTGTAACGCTTGTTGCATCACTTGAAGATGTGACTAGTGATGCAGAGTTACGAGAGATTATTGGTCTTTGTGGCTCCTTTCTCACCCTGCGAGAACAGACTTTGCACTTTGTTCACCAGTCAGCCAAAGACTTTCTTCTTGCCAAGGCTACCCAGGAAATTTTCCCAGCTGGACAGGAGGCTCTCCATCAGGCCATATTCGCCAGGTCACTCCAGGTTATGTCAATCACCCTAAAGAGGGACATGTACGGACTAAAGGCGATAGGCGCACTGATCGAAGACATTGAGAAGCCTAAGCTAGACCCATTAGCAGCAGTCTCTTATTCCTGTATTTACTGGATCGACCATCTATGCGAATCAAAGCTTACAGCTTCTACGCTTGATCCGGAACATCTACGAGATGGGGGGTTTGTTGATAGGTTTCTGAAAAAGACATTTCTGTACTGGCTAGAATCCCTCAGTCTTTGCAGGAGTATGTCCTACGGCATAGTTTCGATGAACAAGCTACATATGTTAGCACAGGTATGTCTGCGCTAAACAGCTCTAATATGTATATATTCTATACTGATCTTAGCCAGGAACAGGGAGAGGTGACTCCCTTCACTCAGCTTGTATACGATGCGTATCGTTTTATCATGTATCACAAACAAACAATTGAACTCAGCCCTCTCCAGGCATACATATCTGCGCTATTGTTCAGCCCGACAGACAGTCTGATTAGAAAATGTTACCATCACGAAGCACCTGGATATATCTCGATTACAACAGCTATAGCGAGTACCTGGAGTGCATGTCTACAAACGCTTGAGGGACATGACAGTGCCGTCTTATCAGTAGCCTTCTCTCATGACTCGTCACGAGTCGTATCTGGGTCACTCAATGCCACGGCAAAGATCTGGGATACTAACAGCGGCGCTTGCCTTCTGACACTGAGAGGCCATGCCGGTGGTGTGCAATCAGTGGCCTTCTCTCATGACTCGTCACGAGTCGCCTCGGGGTCGTCTGATACCACGGTCAAGATATGGGATACCAACAGCGGGAACTGTCTTCTGACACTAAGAGGCCATACCGAAATTATCAAATCAGTGGCCTTCTCTTGTAATTCCTCATGGATTGCCTCCGGGTCAGATGACTCCACTGTCAAGATCTGGAACTCAAGTAGTGGAGATTGTCTCCAGACACTTCATCATGGCGGTCGGATTAGCTTAATAGCCTTCTCTCACAACTCTACCCGACTGTTGCTAACATATTCTGATGTCAAAACGGTGGGAGTAAGGGTCTGGGACCTAAAGGAAGGCAGAATTTTTAACACTGTTCGAAGTGATTGTAACGACTTCATGTCAATATTTTTCTCGCACGATTGCGCTAGAATTGCGTCGGTCACTTGGAGATCTTTATGCAAAGAAGTTGAAGTCTGGGATTTGGACAGTGGCAATTTGCTGCAGACACTCAAGGGGCATAATAATGCAGTCGATTCGGTGGCCTTCTCTCACAATTCGATACAGCTAGCGTCCGGATCAAACGACGGTACTATCAAGATCTGGAATGTGATTACGGGAGAGTGTCTTCGAACGTATGAAGGCCATATTTTCAGTGTTGGTTCAGTGGCCTTCTCTCACGACTCAGTTCATCTGGTATCTGGATCAGGCGACTTCACAATCAAAATCTGGGATGCAAATAGTACTGTGTGCTTCCAGACCCTAAGAGGCAATAGTGGCAATGTTGAATTAGTAGTCTTCTCTCCCGATTCGGCACTACTAGCATCCGGATTCAGCGACGGCACAATCAAAGTCTGGTGCGTGAGTAGTGGAAAGTGTGTGCAAATGCTCAAGCACCATGATTTCAAGGTCTCTGACTACAAGAACTGTGATGATGAGATCCTCTCAGCGGCTTTTTCCCATGACTCGACCTTGTTAGGATCTGCATCACCTGACGGAACAATCAAAATATGGAACGTAAGTAACGGAAAGTGCCTCCAGACACTCAACAACAACGGTCCTATTCACACTATAGACTTCTCATACAATTCTGCCTGGCTGGCGTCGGCATCCTCGACATCAAAGGGTTGTACTAGTAAGCTATGGGACCTGAGCAGTGGCATGTGCATCAAAACCTTCACGTATGATGATATCCGGGATACAGGAATTCCTATCGGATCGGTGGCCATATCTCACGACTCGGCCCAGCTAGCATTAGCATCTCACAGCTTCACAATCCATATTTGGAACACTAGCAATGGCGAGAGACTCCAGACGCTGGAGGGTCATAGTGGAATGGTCCTCTCAATAGCCTTCTCCCATGACTCGGCGCTTCTTGCATCCCAATCGGTTGACAACATAGTGAAGATTTGGGATCTGAAACGCGGTGTCTGCCTTGCGACTTACGAAACTGATATTTGGGATGTACTTACAGAATTCGAAGCTACTGGACCATATCTTTGTGTTGGCACTGGCACCATCGATATCAACGCTGCTTTAGGCTCATGGTCACTCCCAGATACTTCCAAGCCTCGCATTCCTCGATACCGTGGCATTGGTCTAAGTCCGTGTAGGGAGTGGATCACTCATGAGACAAGGCTCCTTGCTCGGATACCTCCAGAATACCGGCCAGGACATGTGATGGTGTCAGGAAATACTATTGCTATCGCTAACAACTCAGGAATCGTGTGGATATGTAAAGTTGATGTCGATAAGCTTTTAGCTATGAAATCATGATTTTCTAATCGGTTGGACTGTGATCTTTGTGTTCTAGAGGCCTACAGGCAACACTGATGTACAAGTACTGCTGATTTGCCATGATGCAGCTTCGAATACCTCTAGAAAATTTAGAATAGACTTCATGTTTTCTACTTCTGATTTGCTACCGTATGTTTTTGGATATGTCTGATAAACTATTAGAGAGTTGTTCAACTAATATGTAACTGTCGCATCCTCAGTGTGAGAACCATGCGACTTCCCCACCAGGAACGATTCTTGCGGGTCCAATGCCCGTTGGGATAGACCGGGCGCGAATCCTCACATGCTGTTCTTTTCAAAACGATGATCCGAAGAACCCTGAACCATCTTCTTGAGATCCGTCCAATACTACTGGGTGAACCAAAATGAAGGCACTTGTAGTTACCCTATCATTGCTGCCCATTCGAATGCCATTAGCCGAAGCTGAACCAAACACAGTCTTCACAACTATCCTCCTAGCAAGTATAGAATAATGCCGCATACTGCTACTTCAGTTTCGAAAAAAAATCAAGAAATCTACTGTCCTACACCACCGCACCGACAATCACAAGTATACCCACACCCACATTGATGAGTGAACAGCCACCACGCCCTCAAACACGCAACTGTCTCCCCATCACCGCCCTCCACTATAGAAATCCCCATTCTCCTCCCTTCTACAAAATCCACTCAAGATGCCATCCTGGACAGCAGCACCCGCAACAATAGCCGAGCGTCGAACCGCCGCCGACGCCATCATCCTCCACCAAGCCAACCACCTCCCCCGCAAAAAACTCCTCATCGTCTTCTCCGTCCTCGCCATCTCGCACGTCGTCTGCTTCATTGACCAGACAGGCATCGGCGTCGCGCTCTCGACCATCGGCCGTGAACTCAACGCCGAAGACACGATTAGCTGGGCGGGCACGAGCGCACTGATCGCCAATACCATTTTTCATGTCTTGTATGGAAGGATGAGTGATTTGTTCGGTACGTAATATACACCCCCTCTTTCCACTTCGATTCATGTTCGAAATAGAAAGGAAAAGAGGAAGAAAGCTGATTGGAGTTTTTGTGATGTAAAGGTCGAAAATCCGTCCTCCTAGCCGCCTTAGCCCTCCTCTGCATCTCTTCTCTCCTTTGCGGCCTCGCCCTCAACGCAAAAATGCTCTACGTATTCCGCGCGTTATCTGGTGTGGCGAATGGGGGCGTCGTGTCGCTCTCCTCCATGATTGTGTCCGATATCGTGACGTTGAAAGAGCGGGGGAAGTGGCAGGGTATGATTGGTGCTTGTGTTGGGATTGGCAACATGTCTGGACCGTTTATCGCAGCGGCGTTTGTGCAGAAGAGTACGTGGCGTGGGTTCTTTTGGCTGCTGAGTCCTATTGCAGCGGTTTGCGCGGTTTTGTGCTTGTTTGTGCTGCCAACGCCAGTGCATCAACCCAGAGCGGATGTGAAGACGGTGATGAAGAGGGTTGATTACGGAGGAATATTTTTTGGAAGTGCGGCACTGTTGCTGCTGCTTATCCCGATTGCAGGGGGTGGTGATTATTTCGAGTGGGACTCGCCGATGGTGATTTCCATGCTGGTGCTTGGGGGGTGCTGTGTGCTCATTTTCGTGTACATTGAGCATAAGGTAGCGGTGCTCCCTATGATGCCGCGTAAGTTTGTTCCCTTTCCAAACACCATTTTAAGGTTACTCACTAATGCTTCTATCTACCGCTTCAGTAACTCTCTTCAAATCTGGTCCCGTATCCGTCATGCTGATTCAAAACTTCCTCTTCGGAATGGTCGCCTACTCGCAAACTTACTACCTCCCCCTCTTCATGCAAAACGCACGCCGCCTCTCTCCTATCACCTCCGCCTGTCTCATGCTCCCCATTTCCGGTTCGCAGACTTTTTCTTCCATCGCTGCGGGTCAGTACATGTCGCGCTCCGGCCGTTACGGCGAAGTCATCTGGACCGGTTTTTTCCTGTGGACCCTCGGCGTAGGACTAACATGCATCTTCTCGCTCGACACGCCACTGTGGGCTATCGCACTCATCCTCGCTATCCAGGGTATTGGTATTGGTGCAGTATTCCAACCCGTGCTCGTTGCACTACAAGCACACTGTTCAAAAGCTCATCGTGCAATCGTCATCTCCAACCGCAATTTCATCAGGAGTCTTGGCGGTGCGGTTGGTCTAGCGGTTTCGGCGGCGACACTCCAGAATTCGCTGTATACTGCTATGCCGGTTGAGTTTCGTGGCCTGATGCTTAGCTCGTATGATACGCCGCCGTTCGAGACAATGGATGGTAGGCAGATTCGGCTCATCTTGAAGGCATATGCGACAGCTAGTCGGACGGTTTTTATTGTGAATGTACCTTTGATGGTGCTGTGTCTGATAGGATGTTTCTTGATCAAGGATAAGGGACTCATGCAGCAGGAAGAGGACAAGAGTGTCGAGAAGACGATCAGTCGAGACGAGGAATCAAGTCATACCGGTAGGTAATTGGGGATGGACAACAGGATATAATATTCAACCGTTTTTTTTCCAGAAAAAAAGTTATTTGGTCATTCTTTTCACCAGTACAGTAGTTTGTATCATACTGCAATCAAGATTCGGTGTTCCAATGTCTTCTTCTTCTCCTCACAACTCCCTCCAATTCCACTCCCTCTCCCACGCATACGCCGCTTCCAAAACTTCCATCTCACCCCACCACCTCCCCACAATCTGCATGCTAACCGGCAACCGGACTCCATCCTGCACGCCTGGCCCCTCCAACACATCCAAAAACCCAATTGGCAGCGCAAGCGCTGGATGCCCACTCTGATTAAACGGCGCCATATTCGATGTCAACCCAACCTGCTTCGCCACCTGCTCCAACGGCGTCGCATCAGGCGACGGATGACTCGTCGCCACGTACGGTAGCGTAGGCGTAAGTAACAAGTCATACTCGTTTAGCACCGCATCATACGCATCGCGCAGCTGTCTAGACAGGTTTGTGGCTTTAGCGAGCAAATTGGGGAACTGCTGTGTCGCATATAGTCCGTTTAGGTAAATATTCCTTGTAGAAGGGTATGCTTCGTCCCAGCTTTCCCGAGCTGCGGCAGCTTGCTGGAAGAGAGTGTTCAGGGAAAGCATTTGGTGCGAGCGACGCCCAAAGGGGCCACTGGTTTTGCTTAGGAATCCACCGACTTTGGAGATGCCGGTCCAGATCGCAGCGCCTTTGGAGTGGAGGGGGATGGAGACTTGGGTTACGGTTGCACCGAGTGAGGTGTATTTTGAGGCTGCGGCGAGGAAGGTTTGGACTACGCGGTTGTCCATGTCAGGGGTGGAGAGGGATTCGGTTATTATTGCGAATTTCTTTCCTTGGAGAGGTTTCTCTAAGGGAAGGTTGGCGATGGAAGTGTAGAGTGGGACTTTAGAGGGGTGTGGTGCAGCAAAGGAGCGATCATCAATGTTATCATTGCCTGCGATAGTTTCGAGGAGAAGAGCGTTTTCTAGAACGGTGCGTGTCATAGGGCCGATGTGGTCGTTGGTTGGCTCATTGCTGCCACAGCCCGTGTATGGGACAAGTCCGAATGTAGGCTTTAGTCCTACGATGCCGCAATTGGCGGCTGGGACACGAATACTTCCTCCTTGATCTGCGCCGATGGCTCCATCAGCTTCGCCCAGTGCAACGATGACTCCTGATCCACTAGAGCTTCCGCCTGCACTGTAGCCTTTTGCAAACGGATTCTCAACTATGCCAGTACCGGAGGAGTGGCTTGTTGCTGAGTGACATAGATTTTCGCAAACAGCTTTTCCCAGGATACGCCCGCCGGATTCCAAGATACGCGTTGTAACTGTTGCATCGAGATCCGGAACGTAGTCTTTGATGAATTTGGTGCCTAATAGCATCGAAACGCCTTTGACAGCTATATTGTCTTTCAAGACAAAGGTCTTGCCGTGCAGCTTCCCTTTGCTGTCAGCGAGCTTGTCAGTGATATTGCACTTCCACGCCCATGCTCCATGAGCATTTTCTGATCTCTCTGGAAAATGTGCATTTTCTCTCAGAAAGCGATCTTCATCCACGCATGGGATGTAATCTATTACTGCTCAGTTCAAATCTCGCAATTCATCGTCCTTTTGCAGCTTACCTTCCATAGCCATCAGCTGTTCGCTCGCATCATGAAAAACCGCAAGTAGGCGTCGATAGTCTTCCTTCTCTTTTTCATCTATCGGCATGCCAAGCTGTAAGCAAAGTTTGTCTAGGGTTTCCGTTGTGACGGGGTTGCCATGGCTTGCATCCAGTGAGAATACCGACATGCTTCTTATTGTTTGAGAAATTTGTAATTTGGTCAATTAATGGAGTTGTATCTAAGATCAATTTCAGTAAGAAGAACGAATACGGTGATGTTCGTTCAAGGACTCCAATGTGTGCTAACACATCGCTAAACCCAAATATAATTTGACACATAGTGCTTAGAAGGTGCCCTGATAAGAACACAATCTAAGAAGGAACCGTAGTACTCCAGATGATGCAAAGGAATTCACAGAGAAACGATAAGAGTGATGCGGGGTTGGTGGGTCGCCTTGCCCATCATCGGAATTGTTACTCCCGATCAACCAGCCTGCCAGTAACAACGACCGTAGGCAAGCAGCCTCCGTTTGTAGAAAGATAACGATGGCTTGGATTTTAGATAATTGAATACATATGGAGAAAGATAATGCGATCCCACATCAGGGATCTCAAAACACATCATCTTATTTTCGAGTGTCTTTGGAACGCCCTAGTTGATCCATCATGGTCCATGTTGAAGAGTCACTGCAGCTGCCGCGAGACTTTGAAGGTGCGAAAATTTAAAGCAAGCGCACTCCTAATACTTACAAGTTGAACCAGGTTTTGGAGAAGACGGCCATGATGCGCAATGGCCAAATGGAGCTCGAATAGCCATTTCCTTTGTTCTGAACTACGAAGAGGGTGGGGAGAGAAACCCTATAGACGGCGATGGTACTAGTGAGCCCTATCTCTGGGAAAAAGGTCCGTCAGGAGGCGGAAGGGAGCAACGGCATCTCAATGGCGAGCAAGACTATGAGTATGGTAGTCGATGCGGCTCTTGGCGCATACTCCGTTTGATGAAAGAGTTTGGCTGGAGCATGACTCTATGGGCTATTGCTATAGCCATGGAAAGAAATCCCTCGTTTGCCAAAGCCTGTGTCAGGGACGGGCATGAAATCGGTGCGCATGGTTACAGGTGGTTGGATATTTGGGATTACTCGCTGGAGGAAGACAAAACCTACATCAAGAAGACGTGTAAGGTGCTCGAGGCTGCCACTGGTGCGTCTTTTTCAGATGTTTCCGTTGAAGTTGAGCTGATCAGGGTACAGGAGAGTTTCCGGTTGGAGCATATTTTGGAAGAGGTACTCCGAATACAGCTAGCTTGCTCCCTATCATGTGGAAAGAGATGGGCCATAAAATGCTATACACTTCTGAAGTGTATAACGAAGATTCCCCTTATTGGATCGATCTCCCATGGGAGAAAACACTCCCAGACGAAGAGAAGGAAGGCTTGTTAATGCTGCCGTATAACTACGACTGTAAGCAGACTTCGTCGTGCATTTCTCAGTGTCGAGCTAATACCAGAATAAGGCAATGATGGAAAGTTCCATATGCTTCCAGGTTTCGTCAGTTCAGCTGGTGCTGTATATGAGCAGTATCTGAAAGACACGTTTGACTGCCTATACAGGGAAGGTGGGAAAATGATGACAATACCCTTGCATTCCAGGATAGCGGGTAAGCCAGGAAGATCTGAAAGTCTTCGCAATTTCATGAAGTACGTTTCTCAAAAAGAAGGGGTTTGGGTAGCGACGCGAAGAGATATTGCCAACCATTACTGCAAGATTTTCCCTTACAAGCCGGGGTCGAAGACTGGTGGGCTCAACTCGCTTTAATAACTGCTCCTGGAGGCTTGGATAGTTTTCAAAGGCTATCCATACATTTAAATAGAGAAAAAGATGGCTGCAATACATCTACAATACTGTTCAGGTGTTCAATTGGGATGTCCTTGGTCAAGAATCGGCTACTCAAAGTGATACAATGCGAGATTTGGGACTAAGAAGAACGCGAGTACGTTCAAAATAAGTTACAGCTTACACAAAATGATATGAGTAAATATAGCAAGACTTCCATTACAGCATGTTACTTCAAAATGGTCGTCCTGCTCCGGAATAGATTCACCTAATGTTATCAACTAGTTCAAATGCCGACATCTCCGACCCGACACCAATCACATCGGCATTTTCGTGCCGATATCCTATCGCCTTATCATGCACAATAATACCTTGCTTTCTGGAACCAAACAATCTCTATCTTTGAACGATCTGGGTAACCTATCGGGGCTATTGGCGAGCTTGAAAACAAACTCCAATGTGACGAGATTGCGAAGGTTCTGTGAATGTAGTATACCCCCTGTGCTCATTTGGGCCTAGTACGAAGAGGGAATAGTCTGCGGCGAACCAGGACCGGCCCGTTAGTGTGAGATTAGGTTCCACCTAAAACGAACAATCAAGATCACTCAGGGGAAAAACACCACACACAGCGAGAACTTGATTTTTGGAATTCAGTCGTTTTTTCGCACTCAAACGCTCGCTCTTGACGCCAATTGACTAGCCAGCACTCAGCCGTAGCGCCCACTGCGACTGACGTGCCATGGCGACACCGTGGCCTCAGCAGCCCGCATGGCCAACACCATTCCGCGAGCACGCTACACGACTCAGCACCTACCTTCAGGACGCGCTGACCTGCATCGATCGCACTCAAAGCCAGCCCGTACCGGCAGACCTTGTCAAGATCATTATCCATGGCACCCTGACATTCATACTGAAAGTGCAACACGCCCCCGACCTCAGCACGGTATGCGACGCGCTTAGCATCCTGCAAACCGAGGCCAAAGCGACCTCGGACAACACCGCGCGAATGCTCGACGCCGTCAAACAAGAACTTAAGACCGAACTTAAAAATACAACCGACACTGTCCACACAATCGCTGCAAACGTACAACTGAACATAAGAGCTGGAGAGGAAGCAAAGACAGCAGCCAAGGAGGCGGCAGAGGTAGGTAAAGCCAGCCTAGAGATGGCAAGACGGATCAAAAATGCAGGACCACAGACAGGTGGCGCGCTCAGCTATGCTGCGATGGCAGCGAGGGGCGCGACGCTAGCAGGTACATCGAATACACAA